TAAAACATTATTTGATTTTAGACAAATGAAGAACTGAAACACCAATTAAGCAGTCAACAGAAAACAATCGAACAGCACAAGTCTCACATAAATAAGTGCATAGATGTGGTGAAGAAGCTGTTGAAAGAAAAGTCCAATATTGAAAAAAAAGAAGCTAGACAACGGTGTATGCAAAACAGACTTCGGCTTGGCCAGTTTGTAACGCAAAGGGTTGGTGCGCAATTTCAAGAAAATTGGACTGATGGCTATGCATTTCAAGAACTGTCTAGGTATGTGTATAACACTTTTTTATTTATAATCAGATTATTTAAAGTTAATATGTTGTTATTCATTGAGTAGAAGACAAGAAGAAATAACATCAGAAAGAGAAGAGATTGACCGACAAAAAAAGATGCTTGTTAAAAAGCGACCATCAAATAGCGAAACTGGTGGACGTAAACGAGCTAGCAGTCAGTCGGGTACATCAAGTAGTAGTTCGAGTACTAACAGTGTACCTATCAATTCAACACCCTCTGTTTCTACGCCACCCATAACGCTACCCAGCGCAAGTATCAACAATAACCAAGTGACTGGTGCTACAACAGGCACGGTATTGCACAACGGTACTGTAGCCCCATCGTCCGCATTGGACACAGCAACGTTCCTAAAGCCAGAAGCTGTCCCGGGTTTATCGTGGCAAGAGTATTATGAAGCAGATGAGATACTCAAGGTACATTTTATATTAGCATATAACCAATTGAAAAGATAAATTAATTAATATGTTTTGGTCTGTACAGCTGCGACAGTCAGCATTGAAAAAAGAAGATGCTGATTTGCAGCTGGAAATGGAGAAGTTGGAGCGAGAGAGAAATTTACACATAAGAGAATTGAAGAGGATTCACAATGAAGACCAATCTAGGTTCAACAATCACCCTGTGTTAAATGACCGTTATTTGTTGCTCATGTTGTTGGGAAAAGGTGGCTTCAGTGAAGTTCACAAAGTGAGTATTAAACTGTTAACTGTTGGTTGCTAATTATTTTATTAATTTAAATTATATTTTTCATTTTTTTTACAGGCGTTTGATCTAAAAGAACAACGTTACGTAGCGTGTAAGGTTCACCAACTGAATAAAGACTGGAAAGAGGATAAAAAGGCTAATTATATAAAGTAATTCATACAGTTTTCATAGTTTTTGTTTGTAGAAATTTAATGACTTAATATAATTTTTTAGGCATGCACTGCGAGAGTACAATATTCATAAATCTTTGGACCATCCAAGGGTTGTTAAATTGTACGATGTGTTTGAAATAGATGCAAATTCGTTTTGCACTGTACTTGAATATTGTGATGGACACGATTTAGATTTTTATTTAAAACAGGTGAGACAAATACCTTACAAAAGTCATTAATATAATATATAAATCCCTTGTTAAATACCTTGAATAACAATTTCGATTTTTAACTTTTAAAGCACAAGACGATAGCAGAACGAGAAGCTAGATCAATAGTTATGCAAGTGGTATCCGCACTTAAATATTTGAATGAGATCAAACCTCCTGTGATACATTACGATTTAAAACCTGGTATGTATTTATTTGTTTAAATTAAATTAAAATGATTATTAATTTAGAAACTTGTTTTAGGAAACATATTACTTACTGAAGGAAATGTCTGTGGTGAAATAAAAATCACAGATTTTGGCCTCAGCAAAGTGATGGATGAGGAAAATTATAATCCAGATCATGGAATGGACCTAACGTCACAGGGGGCTGGAACATACTGGTGAGTAATGGAATTAAAAAAATATATATTTTTCATTAATTAATTTTCATTTTAATACATCTAATATGAAAATAACTTCATATTCTGTTTTAGGTATTTGCCACCAGAATGTTTTGTAGTTGGTAAAAATCCACCTAAAATATCATCTAAAGTGGACGTTTGGAGTGTTGGTGTAATATTTTACCAATGTCTGTACGGCAAAAAGGTAATAAAACTTATTCTTGAAATTGATTTATTTTTGAAATTATTATTATTATTATTATTATTATTATTGCTTATAGCCTTTTGGTCATAACCAATCTCAAGCTACAATTTTAGAAGAAAATACAATATTAAAGGCTACTGAAGTACAGTTTGCCAATAAACCTACAGTTAGCAATGAAGCAAAGGTATATAAACATTATCCATCTCAACTTTATATGTACTTAGTTTAAATGTCGAACATTAACTATGATTTAAATATATTAAGTTAACCATTAATATTTAAATAATAAATTAAATTATTTTGACTCAAATCATTTTAACAATATTAAAATATTTATATTCAACTATAATAATATGCTTTTTTTTGTTTACAGAGTTTTATCCGTTGCTGTCTAGCATACCGTAAGGAAGATCGTATTGATGTGTTCACCTTATCTAGGCATGAATATCTGCAACCACCATTACCAAAACATGGCCGACAGTCAGCTAACAATCAACAACAGCAACAGCAGCAACAGCAACAGCAACAACAGCAGCAGCAACAAATATCAGCAGCTAATTTTGCTTCTGGCATGTTTGGTAACATGAATGCATCTAGTTCGTCCTAAGATCAAGATATAGTTAATAATAAATACTAAATAATTATAAATAATATAATGTGAACGGACAATATATAAAACATGCCTTGTGCCATTTGGATTAAATTATTTGACCAAATAAAAAATGGCGTTCACAAACGGCCTTAGGAAATTTTAATTGAATGATCATTATTATTATATTATTATATGAATGTACTAGTCAAATCGTTTTTGTCACTGCTGCAAATGAGTTCCTGAGTACATTTATGATGTTTATGTTTTACTATTACCTAAATAAAAAATAGTGATACTTGTTCGAGAATCACCTGATTCTTGCGGACAGCAATTTTATTTGTACTCTGTACACATTAATAATTACACTACAAAAGTAAGATTAGTTGTTTATTAAAAAAATGTGAAAAAGAATGAAAGCTTTAATTTATAAACTGTTTTCTGCGAATACCTAATATGTTAGATTTCATTATAATGATATGATTGTCCCATCATCACAATTTATTTTTATTTTTTGCTTTGTACAGTTTCACCATTTTTTTTTTTTGTATATATATCTGTATAAATATATTTGTACATATATACTGATTTTTTTTGTAAATGACATGTGAATTCGATTTAAGAATTTTCGACGATAAAATGTTATTTAGTTTGTTTATTGTTAACACAAAAATGTTTATTTTGTTGTGATAAAAAAAAATACGCAAAAAGAAACTGTGGAGAAAAAGAAATATTAATATGATAATAATAATAGTTTTTCCTTAACATTTGGAAAAATTAAAAGGCGGTTTTTTTTCGAGCCAATGAGACTTTATAATTATTATTTTAGACACACTAGATTTGTTGTAAGGTTTATTACTATCTTTAGTAATAACAAACATTGTATAATTATTATTGATACTATTATTATTACTATTATAAAAATAAAAGAAAAATGAATTTAAAAAAAAGAATGTGTACCTAAATCTTTTCCTCAATATGTACCCTAATAATTATGTTTAAATTATTATTATTTTTTTTTTTTTTTGTCATAAACTCCTTGCATTAGGTTTTGTTTTCCCCATTCAATATTGTTTCCAATCTTATTTTTATGATTTTATTAATTACCAGGATATGAATTAATAATAAGAAAAAAACCAAGTACGCTTCTCGATATTTTTCCTCTACAAGGAAAATCTATGAATCATAAATATGTTTTTGTTATTATTAATGATAATGAAAACTCTACGAAAAATTGGGCAGAAACATTTTACAGTGTATCCGGTCCGAAAACATAATTATATGAAAAAAAAAAAAATGCTTAATTGATACATGCCATGTATTTGGCACAGTGGCACTTATCATTGACAATTGACATGGTGGATTATTTGATTATGGTCTGATCAAAAATATTTATTGTTATTAGTAATATTATTATTTTAAATTGGACATTTACAATTGTTTTATAATAATCATAAATTGCACAGCCATAAAGTATAAATTAAAAGTTTTTAAAGTAAGGTTTGTTCAGTTTTATCGTGCATGTAACAGCCAATCTTTTCAAATATTGATTATTCGCTTATTGGAAACCACAAAGAAACACTAGTCGTAAAATAAAATATTTGACAATTGTATTGTGCTTACATTGGTTATCATTTTATAAATGTTAAAACAACTTATAATTGATTTTCCAAGTGAAGAAATAAAACAACAATAATTTACTGAAGGTAAAATAGGTAGTTAAATCTAATACTTGAATATTCAACCCTTTGTACTTACCGTCTTATATCTATGGTAAATACTTGCAGGTTTGATTGATTAGTGTTGTTTTAGACATTTTTTTGTCCAAAATTGGTGTAAAATTATCCCCATATCCCGGTGCAGGATAATGTACCATATAAATTATTTGGTGTGAGCATCTTCGTACTTTTTTTTTCATACTGGTTTTAGCGAGCGAATTTCTAGTTTTTTATAACCATACTTATTGTATTATATATTTATGTTGAAGTTCAAATATAATTTTATATTTATAAAAAATATGAAAAAGGTATAAAAAAATAAGTACTCATGTAAAAAATAAGATTTTTATTTAATAAACCAGATAAATTTCTTTTAAAATTAAAAAAAAAAAAATGATGTTTCAAAATATTTTTTTAATTCATTACATTGTTTAGCGCATATGTAAATGCCACCAAAACAATAAACCCATTAAAATAAAAATCAACATTTTAGTAACAATGCAAATTAGTTGATATTTAAAAATTATTATATAATATATGTAATAATATTTGTGTCTATATTTTTCATAATTTTGGAACATACGATTCTTAACGCCATCTAGTAGTAAATACTATAACACCTAAGCCCAATTCACGGTTTAGGAGCTGATAAGATCGAGGCCCATCATATTCTGTGATCATGTGGTCTTATTTCTTATCAATTAACATTATCAATAATATTTTATTAACATTTCGCATTATAAAAAAAACTAAAATAGTATTTAGTATTTAAGTATTTTGCTCCTCGTTACCCATTTTACACTTTAACTAAGTTCTTACAGTTGTATACCTATTTTAAAGTTAGAACTCTAAACTTGTCATTAATTGTGGTTTATTTGTTTTCGAAATCATAATTTTTGTAATAAAATTCTAAGAAAAATCAGTCTGTTGAAAGTTAAAACAAAATGTTAAATTGTGTAACCAGTAAGTTGACGTTATTTTGTCATAGTAGACTACCATCAGGCTTTAACAATCTTCGAGGATGTGTGGCACTATTTGCTACACCCAAGACAGACTTCAGCACCTCTTCCATATTAGATGGTACAAAGGATGATCCTAAGCGTTGGTTGGCGAATAATGATGTTATTTACCCACCACAGGAACCCGGGGAAGAGAGAAGACCGGCTGTATGTTAACTATAGTATTTATGTACTTATGTTGAATGTTTGAATTATGCTGTTTTATTTGAATATTACAGTTTGTGTGTCACCAAAAAGTGAATATCAAATACAGTCCCAAAAAAATGTGGTATGTTGCAAGCTTTGTGCGTGGTATGTCTGTTGATGAAGCACTTAAACAATTACCCATGGTCGGGCTTAAAGGTGCCACTATAGTAAAAGATACTATTTTAGAAGCCCAACAGTTAGCAGTGGAAAATCATAACGTCGAATTTAAGACAAATTTGTGGATTGGTAAGAATAATAATTTGTTTAATTTGTGTCAATCATGTTGCTTTTATGTATCTGTGTTTAATTTTAACAAATTAACATAATTTCAAATGTTTATTTTTAATATTCAATACCTTTTACCACAAATTATTACTTAGTAATTTATATTTTGATCAATTTAAAATTACATTAGTTTTATAGTACTTTTTCTCTGATATTTTTAATTTCTCTTATATATTAATGGATTAAGTTTTAGAAACATTCAATTAGATAGATTAGTTAATTTTTTTACAAACTTTTTGTAATTTTTTGTATGAGAGATATGCATTTAACTAAATTTATTGATTTAATTTTCTGTTGATATTAATAAACAAAAATCTTATCTTATTATTAAATCAGTGATAATACCTATTACTTAGTATTTTAAAGTGTTATTTAAAAATGTGAAGAGGTTAAAATGTACATGATATGATCACTGATGGTACATTTTTTCCCAATTTAGAGCAGATTAGAGGTTTAGATTCTAAAATATTATAATTTTTTATTCCAGCTGAGTCATTTTGTAGTAAAGGTCCAGTTATAAAAGGTATGCGCAGACATGCTAGGATGCGAATGGGTCAAATCATGTACAGGTACTGCCATTATTTTGTGAGATTAGAAGAAGGTACACCTCCAGAAAATTATTATTATAGCTGGCCTAAGACAGGCCCAGCTTTGTTAGCCCACTGGGTTGATGAAGTCCGTGACCGTAAAATTCAAGGATCATTATAAAGCGCATTTAAAGATAAAAACTAGTGGTAAGAAATGTATTTGTTTATAAATATATACTAAAATTAAATAAAAAATGTTTTTAAACTTATAAGAATTATGTGTTCATTTTATATTTGTTTTATTTGTAAAGCTGATCTACAAACTGAAATTCTGTGTATATTAAAATAAAATAAAATAATAATTTATACTCCATTCACGTTTAAAAGGAATCTTGGCGGCAACCAGTTCTTGTCAGGCAATACGTATTTGTCACCCTTACTAGGTTAACCATTTGTGTAGTTAAGCCAGGCCCCTGCACTCAAACCTCCACCGAGGTTCCTTCTTAACTTGAATGGAGTATATATCATTGATAGACAATTATTTATTAGCATTTCGTATTATTTTAAATTTGGTATTGATAATTGTATCTTATACTTTTATGGTTTTATTCATTACTAAACATTGTGATTAATTATACAATTCAGACCAACTTATGTACTGACTAATTTTAATTTATAAAATATAGCTTCACAGTATATGATAAATATATTTTTGAAACATAAAGTATTAGTACTTACATGTATATTGTACCTATATATTAAAATAAATCAAGGGGTGTATCCAGGAATTTTCAAAGGGGGTACACATTTTTTGAACATGTGAAAAGTATAAAAAAAAGTTGTATGCCATTAAAAACAATAAATTCTGTCATTCAATGGGAGAGGTCCAGACACAAAACCTAACCTCTTGGTAACTCCTGTTTCTATAACTAAACATAAATAAACTAAGTGTAGTGAGAATGGAAATGTTTTTTTCTACTAAATATTAATAAATACTTTTAAAAATAATTTATAGAAGTTTATATTTAAAAAAAGTGAAACAGCCTGTACCATAATTTTGTTTATGATACTTGTCATGTTTTTAAGTTATTTATTAACTTAAATATTATTTTGAACGCTTTAAGGCCGAATAACTCTTCTCCTGATGATGTAATATACTATAATAGTAAGTTGTAGCACTGGTTATAGAGAGTACCTACGAATTAAGATAGACAATCTTAATTTGTGATGGTGCCATTGATTATAAATTTATAAATACTAGAATATCCTAGTCTTCATGCTACAGAATTATTAATTTATAGTCAATAGTTATATGTAAGTAGTTATAAAATTTATAAATATTGATGCAATTATATGAAATAATGTTTTGATTGCATTAGTGGTCCCTTTTAAGATTTTCACATAATGATTTTAATAATTTTAATTTTAATTTTTTGTCTATGAATAGTTTACAACATATAGGTATTATAGGTACCTATGTCACTGAGTTGAATATGAAGTATATATGCACATATCAACAATAAATGGATGTATAGTACCTTCAAAAGTGTATTGTAGATAATGAATGTAGTATGTTATGGCCTAATCAAACCTTTTATTTATTATGGTTATAGGCTATTGCTCGTCCTTATATTATTAGCAAATAAAGTAATCTTCAACTAATTATATGTTAGCCTAAGCTATCTTGTAGGGTTCTGATGACAGATATTACTAAAACATCTGGGTACTTTATTAATACTTATGAGTTATAAGTATATGTTTATGAGAAGTTATGTTTGTTGTGGTGGATACTGGATATAAATAACAATGTTTCTATTTGTATATTATTTTCATTGGCCATTGATAAAAATTGTAATGAGAACATGTTTTTAAAAAAATATTTAAAATAGTATGTCAATCAATGTTTAATGACGATTTTGACTGGTTACTATTGACAATATTTATCTCTGGATTATTTTCCTTGCTATGTGTGATGCCATATCCAAAATAAATTGCGAAACCTAAAAAATATAAATTTAAGATATGTGAAGATTTAAAAAAAATAAAGAATGTAAAATTGTAGACTTGGAGATTATTTATTAAAGTAAATTAATAAGCCTCAAGTCTATAGTTTTTTATTCTTTAAAGACGTAATAAATAAACCAACCAATAATCATCCAAATGATGAATTTTGTCCATGTATATATGTCGAAAAAGAACATTAAATAAATGTTTATAAATATACTTAGTGCTGGGGTAAGTGGTACAAGTGGCACCTGAAATATTAAAAAAAAAAGCATGTAAGTGAATATCGCTCTGTTGTACATAAGGTGTCTTGAAGTTCGCTGTAAAAGATGGTATTAAATTTGAATTCAATTATATCACATCATTGAATACGAAAAATGATTCTGAGCGGAGATCATAATATGTTAGTCTAGGATATTTTATATTGTTATTACTTATTATTAATACGGTAGCCGGCAACTTGAATTAATATTATTCATAATATTATTCTTAAACTAACAGTGATTCTAAAAAAATATTGAATATACTTAAGTATAATTGGGATGTTTTGGAACCGAATTTTAACAAAATGACAAAAATCGTTATGCTTTATGTTGATATGTAATTTTGTCCAAATTTGAACTTAAAATGCTTGTAAACTTTATTTACATATTTTTTAGATTTTTTAGTTACGGAAAAAGCTGCTTAAGTTTAACCTTTTATGGTAGTGTATAAAATATGCGAACACAAAATTTCAGTGAAAATTGTATGTATTTACGGTAATTTTTTCAAGAGTTACTCTAAAAACCAAAATTGGTTTTGTTCGAAAACTCGTTGTGCTTAAAAATTACCGTTTTTCTTTAATTTTTTGTTTGTATTTTTTGTCGCTTTGGAGAACTATTGGGAATTGTTTATCTCCCTAATGCACCTACTAGATTCACTTTCCTACCAGAAAAGTTGTTATTGAAGAAAATCGAAGCACGTTTACTGCCCCAAACCGCGATGACAGACACAAAAATAAATAAAAAAACATACATCATTGTAAAATCAATACATTCATCCCTCCTCTCAGAATCTAAAATAAAGGCCATATTATATTTTAGTTTAATAATAATTATACAGTAATAGAATTGTTATTATTTATTAGGTAGGTAGGTTAGCTATTTTACTTTGAATGCTACTGGAGTTTTAGACGTCGGTTGCATAGCGATGGATACAAGTTGTAAAATCATGACACCTACGAGAACCTGGACAATGATCCAATGGGTACTGTTTAGCTCGTACCAGTGACTTAAATAGAGACCAAGAGGTAGACACACTATTGCTGAAATTACATTTTTATTTATCATTGGCTGGTAAAAATGGTTTTTGATTAGGTATTTCGATATTTTAAGGCAAATATGGGTTGGCTTACTGAAACACGTCGTTTGTAAAGACGCTACGTAACTACTCAGACTGTTTGCTCTCACGAATTTGTGGAAGTTGAATAATTGTTTCAGTATTTGCTTCTTTGTGTGTTGTACTTTTATCGTGACCAATGCCGTAGATTCGATGTATTCGTCAGCCAATATATCGTAGTCCATATCGCTCTGTTCTTGATATCTGTTATAAAAATTGATGGTAAATAATAACATTACTAATGTAAACGTTGAGCCCTAAGATAAATTTAAGGAAAAACGCCCGACAAGTTTTGAGTTTACCTTGTGTACAGTACGCACACAGCCACCATGACATATACGAGCAGAGTGCCAATTGTCATCATGTCCACTAGTTGTTGGAGATTTAGTAAAGCGGAAAAAAAACCTTAAAAACATTAAAAAAGAAAATATACATTAATATTTTGATGTCAAAAATCAATAGGTAGGCATTCTATAATCTATGTTATGAATTATTATAACCACCATTCTGTATTAATAAACATTATACCTAAATATTATTCATTTATTATTATAGGTAGGTATACGTTATATGAGTGTATATAGTTTGGTAGGTACCTGTAATAATGCCCGCAAATAGCGTTCCAAAAAATGGAGTTTTGAACCTTGGGTGTACTTTCCCCAAACTTTTGAATATCAGACCGTCGTTGGACATTGCGTACAAAATTCTCGGCAGTGGGTACATTGAACCAAACATGCTGTAAACGTTATAGGTACCCTCAACTATTATTGTTGTTGTTATTATTATTAGACAACATTAAAAGCTGCAGCAACTGTTGAAATGTTCGATTGCTGTATATAGGATTATATTTCCACAATTGCCTACTTACCAGGCACACATCCCGAAAACGGCTCCTACTCCTATGATCCATTTCAGAGGCGTCCATCCAATAACGTCGAACGCGTGACTTAATGGCATATTTGCGTCCTAGACATAAATACGTATAATTGAATTAATGACCGTTTGTATTTTTATATTATCGACGTCAAATCGGTAAACTTGGCCTCTTAGACTTAGGGCGTTGTCTGTACTTGGGACAAAACCAGATTTTTTAAAATATTTATTTAATTAAATTATTAACTGAGTGTGTAGTGTGTACCTACTTTGTACGTAGGTATATGATAATAATATGAAATTAAATTACTGTTATTGATGTAAGTACCTAATGTGTATATTATATTACAATAGTTGCATTTTCATATTTTCATATTTTTGACATTTTTTATTTTTTATTTGTCTATTACTTTTTAATTATTAACTATGGATGTGTATCTGCTTTGTACGTATTTGATGAATAATATTAAATATATTAGTTTTTTTTTCATATTTAATTGGTAGTCACTATATTTTTTATCTGAGTTCAATTTACCTATACCGTGCTATATAATATATTCAAATATTTTCGCAACAAAATATATGTAGATTGTAGATTCACTAGATTTTTTATTTCAATTTGCAAGTATAAGTGCACTTTGTAGGTACCTACTGGCTACTTGTAATATAAATAGTAAATAACTATGTGTACAGACATATATTGAGGGGCCTGATTTGGCTCTGTGGTTGTTCCCTAGGTGGCTCAGTCAACGTGTTCTGAGGTTAAGCATCGGCCGGCGTCACTAGTTCCCGGATAAGTGACAAATGGCCACCCTGGTTATTAGTGATAAATCCTCGCCCTACATACACGTTTCTCAACCAAATGTACCCCCCCCTTCTAAATGCTTATGGCCAAAGTTGCCGATGTTTAAGATTATTAAAAAGAGACCGTAAAAACCTTAAATTTTGCTTCATCATAGCCTAGTAATGAAGTCAGATTAGTCAAAAATTGGATTTCATATTTTCTTGTGAATAATAATTTTAAGACTGTTTGACCGTCCCAAATTTGACACATCAATGAATCAAATGAAATTTTTACTTTGAAATATTTAAATAGGTTTATATTTTTAAAATGTTGTGTTCTCTATATGTGTTATTATGCCATAAAATCATCGCACTAAATAGTAGATGGTCAGACTGATTTTATATCTGATTAGTGATTATCAATATTACTTAGAGTTTATTAAGCTATATGTTTTTTTGTAAAATTAATCACTGTATGTGTTTTCCCCCAATTTCTCATTAGGTAGGTAGTAGGTATGTGCTAGGTGAGTTTATTCATGATGGTGTTGCCTACCTGTGCGTAGTACGGTATCATCAACGTGAGGACAGCGGACACTCCGGAGTAGGCGAGGAACACG